AATCCACTAGAGAAATGTTTTTGAGAATCATTTCTCTTGTTTGGTTGTATTAAGCAAGAAATGGAAATGGCTTTTTTACTTTGTTTATTTCTTTTTAAACAACATTTTTTTATCACACCACATAATGAATAGAACATATCAACAAGAATAATGAAATAATAATAGAGTTGTTCAATCATTAAACATAGTTTCAACACCACATAATAAATAATGAAGTTTACATAAAAACATTGAATAAATTAATTGTTGGCACGCCTTGCACTCCAATCAGTAAACATAGTATTAGCAAGAAGATCTTGACGATCAGTCCATCCTTGCGATGTCTCTACGGTAGAAATAATGTTGTCATGTTCGTCTCCAAATTGTGTGTGATTTGCAGGGATTTCTTGATCAATGGGGTCTTCGGTCATGGTTGTACGTATGAAATTATGCATTAAACAACATGCAATGATTATGTGTGGCATAGATTCTATTGGATGGTATGCATTATCACGTAAAATAGCCTATCTAGATTTAATCAATTCAAAACATCGTTCTATTACGTTCCTTGCTGATGAATGTTTCATGTATACCACACAAAGGACTACAATCTGAAAAAAATAAAGCCTCGTTCCGAGTTCGTATAAGGATTTTATGATGGTTCAAAGTTGGACAAAAAATCAAAAAATTGCTGAAATATTATACAACATTCATAACAGCCATTGTTTAGAGCTTCATAACTCAGTCAAAACTAAACCAAATAAGCTATTTCTTGAGCCTAAAAAGTATACCACACAAAGGACTACAATCTGAAAAAAATAACGCCTCATTCCGAGTTCGTATGAAGAATTTATGATGGTTCAAAGTTGGACAAAAAATCAAAAAATTGCTGAAACATTATACAACATTCATAACAGCCACTGTTTGGAGCTTCATAACTCAGTCAAAACTAAACTAAATAAGCTATTTTTTGAGCCTAAAAAGTATACCACACAAAGGACTACAATCTGGAAAAAATAACGCCTCATTCCGAGTTCGTATGAAGATTTTATGATGGTTCAAAATTGGACAAAAAAACAAAAAAATGCTGAAATATTATACAACATTCATAACAGCCACTGTTTGGAGCTGCATAACTCAGACAAAACTACACCAAATAAGCTATTTCTTGAGCCTAAAATGTATACCACACAAAGGACTACAATCTGAAAAAAATAACGCCTCATTCCAAGATCATATGAACATTTTATGGCTGTTCAAATAAGAGAAAACAATCTAAAAAAATCCGAAATTGTGAACAACAAATTGCTTTTGTAAATAAAACTCAAACACAAACCAGATACAAATCACATGTAGTAGTCAAAATTGACATTCAAATAACACAAAAATAGCATTCAAACATCAATAATCGGTTTGATCAAAGCAAGATTACCTTGAATTGGAGGAGGAAGGTGATAAAATCGACAAAGAATAAAAGTGAAATCGTCAATGTTCCAATCGAGCAATAGTGATAATCAGCAACAAATTGATTGCAGAAGGCATCGTCCAGTCCAAATTCGAAGTTGAAGTCGAAGGTTAAAGGGAAGAAAAGATCAACACAGAAGGAGGAAGATCGACGCACAAGGAAAGAAGGAATACCTGGGCCGACGTTTGGGAAAAAAAGAGGAAAAAAAACGTATGCAGGACTCGAACCAAGGACAGGAGCATCTGATTTTCAATTCTCCGTTTTTTTTTCTTTTCTCGAGAAAGCCTTCACGTATCAATTCTCTTATTTTCCGTATAAATAATAAAGAAATAAACCGATGGAAATGGAATTCAATTTTTTCTCTTTTCTCTATATTTTAGTGCAAAACAAACAAGAGAAATGAAATCAATTTCATTTCTCTCCTCTTATTTCCCAGTACCAAACACCCCCTTAGTATTCCCTCCAACTTATAATCAACCAATATGATATGCAAATAGGACGGTAACATCTTGAACTTGTCTAAGTGATAAGTGGAGACAATTTTGAGACTCTAAGGTTTTTAGCAATTTGATGTTGAATGACCAAATAATTACAAAACCAACACTTTCATAGTTAATTTCAGGGGTGGAGGCAGGAATTTAAGATAGGGGGCTTCGACAATCAAAAGTTATTAAATAATTAGGAAGGACTATGAACAAAATTTGATGAATTGATAGGCTATAAATCAGTAATTAAAATAAATATAAATGTGATGGAGGTGGTGTGATTACGTAGGGCTCAATTTTGATTATGTCTTATATGCTATTGCACTCATTGTTTTTACACTATAACAATTGTTTTTTAATAAATAATCTATATATTAAGTTTAAGTGGATGTGAAGCTAAGTATGATGATATGAATTATAAGTTGTTGCAAAGCTAGAGGATGTAAAATGTAATATTCAGCAAAATAGATATGAAAATGATTTGCTCCTAGTGAAAGCAAATGAACAGTAAAAAGTCTCACAAACACCCTACGCAAATTAATATATATAGTTAGGAGGGGATGACAATTAGTAACAAACGATGGGCTAGATATTTGATTCATAGCCATTTTATCTCTAATATAATTGAGTTTATTAAAAGATTGTCCCCCCCACTGCCTCTGCCACCGGTTAATTTTATCAATAATCCTCTTAAATTCCGGAGCAATAATAGCATGGATTTTATTTTATTTTTACTAAATGTAAAACCCGTGTATTATACGGATTGATTAAAAAATATATATTAAAATATAAATAATAAGTATTTTTTAAAATAAAATTTTGAAATAAGAAACATATTAATTGCAATTTAGTATAATATTTATTACATTTGATAGTTTACATATGTAAGTATAAGTATTATGTGGTTTTTTAATTTTAACAATTGAAAAAAACCATAAATTGACATGTGTATATTATTTATTTAAAAAATATCACAAAATGACAAATGTCAAAACTCATTAGAGATTGACATGTGGTAAAATTATCTTAATTTATTATAATAGATTTTTTAAATACATGTAAACATTTAAGAGATAAAAAAGTAACATGGTTACCAAGTGTTCAAAATATCTTAAACTCAAATACAACTTAAAACCGACGAACAATAATGATTATCTTCAGAAAGTTTCATTCGGTTAATCAAACCCGAAAAATCTTTGGCTTTCGAGAACGACTATGGTTCACAATTTTTCCCTTGAACAGTCGAGCACTAAATTAAAATTTCCAATATTTTATTTTGTTAGGACGTATTTATGATTCATATTACTAGTAAAGAAATTATTTTTTGTATATATTTTTTTTATATGTATTATATTAATTTTTTTTTAGAACCGACAATATCATTAAAAGAGTCACACTCCTAGCAAGATCCTAGGAGGGGCAAAAGAGTGATGTATTATATTAACTACTAAAAATATATTGTACTTGTAATTGTCAAGATGAAAAATTTACTATCAGAACAACCAGCAATCAAAATTTATGAATCTTAGGGCATTAAAATATATTGAAGTACAAAACTACAATAAAACAACCTTAGTCACTACTATTAGATGTATACGATGATGTTTATTTAAACTTTAAACTTAAATATGTTGTTTTCGTCTTTTGTAAAGAAATTGTTGAAAGGGGAGATGAAGCAGAATCGGAAGGGAATGGGTGTATCATATATAATATATTCATATATGAATGATTGATTGGGTATGATTCTAGAGAGAGAAAGGAGGGGTTT